CAAAAACAAGGGAGACTGGAATGGCCATTTCGGGCTCATTAGGCCTCATCAGCCAGCCATACCCAACACCAGGGGTAGTGACCCCCTTGCAGGTTTCAGTCTGGAATACGCACAATGAGAGATAGTTGCTCACCGATCGGTTGCAGGACTCACTTACTTGTTGCGGCTGCAATCAATACTGATCTAGCCGGCCTCGGTGATGTCCCGGACGGTAATTCTCCACGCCCGACAATCCGTGGCAGTAGAACTGGACAGTTTGATCCATTTTCTCCGCCAGCGCCGGATACCGAAGATACAAGAACCACTTCCATGTCCTGACGGACTGGGTCTGGCCAGGTTTTGCGCTGACCCCCACCAAGTCGTTTCTAGTTAGGTAACGGTTTCGGGTCGAGGGCATTAACACTGAGCTCGTGAGGTTGACTACGAAGAATGCGCCCAAACTCCTCAGTCGCCTTTCTTGGGTGGCCTGGGATATCCTTGCGATGTTGTCGCAGCGTGTGCCGACAGTCTCATTTGAGATGAAAACGGTGTTCTTCACCTGAAGTATGGTCCTCAAGCAGTAATGGTCAAATTCCTCCGGTTTCCGTTTATCTTCCACGCGTATAGCCAGCCCAGCATTTTCAGCCTTATAAAAGAACAGACAGCGCGGATGCAGGGTCCACGCGAAGTTTTGTGATGATCGAAGTATCCCATCGGGCCTAAAGGCACTTTAGGAGGCTGGAGAAAACTCGTCGAGCTGCGTAAATTCGGGAGACAAGGTCATTTTTACGCTGTTCCCTCGGTAACGGCCTCGCTGCGAGGTATTTGAAACTGTCTACTTCTTGAGAGCCATTCATCTCAAGGGATGCCTTCCCTTGGGCAGGGATGCAGCATGAAGACACTTTGTTCTTCTCAGCGATTAAGAACTCATTGGTCTCGTTGCGCCTTGGAGTTCGCTTTCGAGTCCCGCCAGCAGCCGTTCAAGGGCTAGCATATTATAGTGGGTCGCTATCGCTGGGGTTGGGTATGACTGGCTGATGATAGCCCATAAGCCAAACACCTTACAGGATATGTTCGACCTGTTGTACACTGAGGCACAATTGAGAGCCAACGAGCAGTAGTCAAGGTGACACTAAGACGGCTGTTTTTTGGCTTATTAGCCGTCGTTAGCTACTCATATATAACCCCGGGATATCCTGACCCCAATAAGAAAAGTACGTTTTATTAAACCTTTAATAAATGAATTCCAGAGCGCCAGGAGTACAAATGCCTTCTTAGTTCAGAATCCTTCCTGTGCTGGGACAAGACATTATAAATGAAGAAATGGTATCGTACCTAATCGCCGCCATGGAAAGACGAATTTACTCTCTAACTCTGTACAAGTCTGGTTTGGCCGATGTTTTAAAGTGAATCAAAGCATACGCATGATTGATGTTTTAGTTGTTTTTAAATAGCTTGCACAAAGGCAAGAGGAGTTAACAGTAAAGTAGGAAACTACTACGATGTCAGTTTTTGGCCAACATTTTGTACGCGCGATCAAGTATATGTTTATCTATTTACGTTTATATAGATCTTCGGCTCATGCATTTCGGCAATAACGGACCTCCAATGGCACCTGATGGACGGCGTTTATGCAACTCTTCGAATTACGGAACTTCGACCGGAAGCTGAGAATCAGCCGGGTACACTGGATTTCATGCTTATTCCAGCCTGTAAGCCTTTTTTCATACTTAACATCAACTCGTACTTAAATATTGTAAGTAGCCAGACCATAGTAAGCAACACTGTCGTGCGACTGGCGCCCACCAATCCGGTTAGGGGACATGCTCGTCCTTTTCGTTCCTGTCCGTGGTCCTTTCGTGTACAAGCACATTTTTTTGTTGTTTTTTTTTCAGTGTTCCCCCATGAGACCGCGAGATGTCCCAATGAGACACTGGACTGCCTGAACATGACTTTCGACAGTCACCAACGCGTTTGTATCAGACCCTTTGAGCGAGCAGCAGAGTTTGGCACTTGCGTGGAGCCGTCTGCACGCAAAGGTGTCCACACACCCCTTTCCAGGGCCAACCTTACAGTCTACCTCGTCGCCGCGCTAGGCTTGGTGGCTGCGCTTATCCTGGTCGGCACAATTTGTGTCTGCGTCCACAAGCGGCGTACCCAACATCGGATTGCCAAGAAACGCAATGGCAGAGTCATACCAGAGGTCAGTAACAGCTCCTTTTTAATCGCATCGGTTTGAGAGAGAAAACAAGAACCCGAAACTTCCGTTTGATAAAGTTCTTGTTGCAACCAAGACTGGATTGGGTTGCTTTTTGTACCCTGTAACATTTTTCTGGTACAGACCAGTGACCTTGACCTTGCCAATTGTTTGACAGCTGACTGATAAAACCTTTATTTCTATTTGTCTTACTCTTAGCGTTCTGGCAGCGCGAACGAACAGCGGGAGTTCCAGTATACAAGAGTGGACGAAGAGGCAGTCGACACAGAAATAACACAACCTCAGGAGGCGTGAGCGACTGCTGGTACAGGTCGGATTGATCTTCTAGGGTCTCAGGAATTTGGGCATACATTTGAAGCCTTTTTTTCATTCCAGCCTGCGATTATACACCTTGTATTGTATTTTATTCCGGAAATCTGTTTGTACTGAACAAGTATTATTCTGAATTTGGCTTGCTACAACTTTGCAAGAGTAAGTTTTGGATGGGCTACTGCGAAGGACCGCGACTTCTCATTCGTTGGCCACCGCATCTACGCCGTCATGGATAGGTTTCTAAGTTAGCACAAGCCCGCTTCTCCATCTAAAGTTCGACCTCCGGGAGGGCAAGAGCTTCAGGTTGCAGCGGAG